GGGAGGGAAGGGGAGGGGAGGGGAGGGAAGGGGAGGGAAGGGGAGAGGAGGGAAGGGAAGGGAAGGGAAATACAGGAAATATCCCTGTACAACTAATTGATGGTAATAAAAAAAAATAAACATACTGATATCAAAGGTTGAGAGGAGAGAGAGGGAGAGAAAGAGGGGGAAGGGGAGAAGGGTGAGAGGGAAGGGGGTAAAGGAAGAAAGGAAAGGGAAAGGGAAAGGGAGTCAAATTGGGACCTGATATTTCATGTTATGGCACTAGCTAGAAAGCAAGAGGGCAGCTCTTCCTTTGGGTTCTGCCATGAATTAATAAGGCATTTGGGCTTTTATGATTATGAGGTACCCCCATTCCTGTAAATAACTCTTGTGGGACTAATTCATTCTTTTTCCATGCTTCCTAAGACAGATACCCACCAGCTTCAGCAAAGATGCAATCCTTTTATCACCACTGTCTCTCCTCCTGCCTGACTAGTGAATTTTGGTTTCAGAAATCAGGTTCCTCAAAATAATTATTAATGAAAATTTTAATTTGTGGTGAATATAAAGACACCATTTACTAAAAACTGAGATCCTGTTCCCACCAGTCCTTACTTTAAATGTGACTAGACAGCCAGACTCTCTGGCTGGCAGGGAAGTTCAGAAACTGGGATTAGAGGAGGAGCCTTCTACCAAAAAAAAAAAAAAAAAATCATAGGCTTAATCCTTCTTCACCGAAGTATAAGGAGACATTTGTCCTTAAAGAGTATTTTAAGGACAATTGGGCTGAGTTGGGGGGAGGGGTGCAAGGTAAGAGAAAGAGAGGATGAATTCCTCTATCTCCCAGAGGAGACATTCTGGGTTGCTTTAATTTTCTTCCTTCTATCTCTCCAGATACAGACAATTGAAGATGGAATGGGAACAGTAGCTAGTATTCCTCATGATTCTCCATTAAGAGTTTAGTTTTTAAAACTGAGACTTGAGGGGTAAAGGATGAGAAGTTAATTGATTGTAATACAATATGGCCTCAATACAAATTAGATAGTGGAAGATCTTGGCCTGTAAATGGGAGCTTTAATTTTAATACAACTCTCTACCTAGATTTATTTTGAAAAAGGCAAGGAAAATAGTCTGAAATCCTTCATGCACAGGGTTTCTGTCTCCTTCATTGTTAAAACAAAACACCTCAGATGCTTTCCTGAGGACCCTGGGAAATTCTTAGATAGATTTGAGGAATAACTACCACTTTCAACTTAACCTGGAAAGACTCACATATTCTATTATCATTCTGCTGCAGTCTGAAGAGAAGCACAGCATTTGGACAGTGGCTCAAATTCATGCTGATACTGTTTGTGTGAGGGGTAAAACTAAACCAAGTTGAGATAATTGAAGGAATAAAGCTATCAATGCAGAAAGATGTTAATTATGATAGAGGATCTCACCTAGAGAAAAGATGAAAACTCTAACCTGTCCTTAGTAAAGTTAACAAAGATCCTGAGAAAACTAGGAGCTCAAATCCAATTGACTGGTAAACACTTCTGGTGGTGTGGTTTTCCAGTAAGCATCAGATACCTGTCATAACCTATAGAAGATGGGTCCTCAGACTCCACTGAAAAGATGAGTACATTTCATCTTTGAGGTTTTCAAGAATCAGTATTTAATGGAAAAAAAAGATTAAGAAGTCAGTTACAAACAGAAGGACAGACCCAACTGTTTGCTGGAAGGCAAGGACAAATACTGGTTATGACTATGTATGGA